AAAACCCAGCTGAAGGCCTAGGACTGGGGCGATGGTGCGCGTGCCCACAGAGAGGGCTCTGAGTGCCGCCTCTGGCACCCGTGCCATAGGTTCGCCACCACTGGGATAGGGTAAGAATAGTAGGGGTGGGGGTAGGCATAGAGATAGGGGTAGAGTTGGGGTAGGTGTAGAGTTAGGGATAGGGGTAAAGATAGGTGTAGGGGTAGGTATAGGTATAGGGTTAGAGTTAGAGTTGAAGTATAATAACCTGAAAACTCATTATAATGTGGGAAACACACCCTTTAATTAGGATCATGCCAAGAATAGATTATTAGAACTGCATAAAAACCTAACAAATAAATAAATCCATGATTCCAATTTTCTGCCTTCTTCCCCTCCTTTTGAAAGCATTTTATGCAAACTTTAGAATTATCCCATAACTACCTCCCACCAGAACATAGGACACGGAATATCAGAGTTAGAGGGGACCTTGAAAGTTTCCGAGTCCACTAGTTTGAAGACCCCTGCCCTATATGCCATTTCAATCCAGTCTCTTCTTAAAAACCTCCAGGATTGTGACCTTCACATTTGTTTTCTGTGGTTTTTGCGTGCACTGATGTAAGACGCATCAAAGCCCGATACTCGAAAAAGGTCATCCTCTTCTGAAAATGCCCAGGTTGTTCTTGAGTTACGACCAAAACTGACTCCAAGATTTCTATTGCTAAGTGAAACATTTAAGTGAGTTTTGCCCCATTTTGCGATCTTTCTTGCCTCAGTTGTTAAGTGAATCACTGCAGTTGTTAAGTTAGTCACACTGTTGTTACGCAAAGCTGGCTTCCCCATTGACTTTGCTTGTCGGAAGGTCACAAAAGGAGATCACACAACTCCTGGGACACTGCAACCGTCATAAATCTGAGTCAGTTGCCAAGTGTCTGAATTTTGATCCCGTGAGCGTGGGGAATGCTGCAACGGTCGTAAGTGTGAAAAACGGTCACAAGTCACTTTTTTGATGGCTGTTATAACTTTGAATGGTTACTAAATCAAGGGTAAGTTGAGGGTTACTTCTAAACAAGCGAAATTGTGAAACGGAACCCGGAAGTCACATGTCCAGAGAGAGAGAGAGAGAGAAAGAGAGTGATGTTGGACCTCTCTTCATTTTCCTACTTCTAGACTTCTACCAGCGATAACTCAAAAGGTCGTTTCGGCAAACTTCCTGCGCTCTCCACCAAACGGTGCAGTGGGCGGGGCTAAACGACGCTAACCTATCGGAGGTCGAGAGTGACGAACTTGTATACCGGAAGCCGGAAGAACCTCTATGTGGGGTTCTGTCGGCTCCACGTGGTTTTGCAGAACGCTACCCGCATGGCTGCCGGAGCCGGTCGGCGGAAGGTGGGTTTGCAGCCGAGCGGAGTGGGGTAGGGAAAAAGATCGTGGGGACGCAATACCGTGGGGCTCCCGGGGAGCTTCGCCTATCTCCTCACCGGACCACAACTCCCATCATCCACGGCGGGGGTGTCAAGGACGATGGGAGTTGTAGTCCGGGTCCTGTTTCAAGGTTTGGGCGGTGTGTGTGCGCGCGTGTAAGACACACACAGACACACAGAGGCAGTCACATCCTGGCCCATCTTGGCCGTAGTTTGATCTGTTTGAACTGTAGGGTTGGACTAGAAGACCTCGAAGGTCCCTTCCAACTCTTGTTATTCTTTTATTTATTGATGCATCTCGGCATCCCATCCTTTCGGGTGTGGCTGCTTTTCTGGGGGGGGGGGAACAGGAGCTTCCTCCCCATCACTACCCCTAATATATTTCCTGCAAAATATATTTGATTTAGGCTGCGTCCCGCTTCTTTCAGCAGCTCGGGCCACGCAGGAACGCAGTAGTTTCAATCAGAATTGAGCTGGAAGGGACCTTGGAGATCTTCTAGTCCAGCCCCCTGCTCGAGCACTCGTGGAGTAGCTGGTGGGCCCAAAACCACTGTGAGGTCTCATGGCTGCAGATGGACCGGGATCTGCCTCTCCTGTTCCGCTGCCTTGTTTCAGGATGCTTCATTGTTTCCTGCAAATCTGGGATTCCTAGCGGTCTCATTCAAGTGAGAACCAAGGATGGATCTTATTTAAGTTTAATCTTTTAGAGCAGAACAGAATAACAGAGTTGGAAGGGACCTCGGAGGTCATTTAGTTCAACCTCCTGTTCTTAATCCTTTAACTATTCTTTACTTGTTTCTACAATATGTCAGCTACCCAGAGTCGCCTTGTATGAGATGGGCGACACAGAAATTTAATAAATAAATTAACGGGGGGTGGGGGCTGAAATCAGACAAAATATCGCAGTAGTTAAAGAATGCTACAAAAAGAGCGGGCAGTTACAGGTAGACCTCGACTTACGATTTCAATTGAGCCTTAAAATTTCTGTTGCTAAGCAAGACAGTTAAGTGAGTCTTGCCCCGTTATGTGACCTTACTTGCCACAGTTAAGTGAATCACTCCGGTGGTTAAGTGAATCTGGCTTCCCCGTTGACTTTGCTTGTCAGAAGGTCACAAAAGAGGGGAAATCACATGACCCTGGGACGCTGCAACCATCATAAATAGGAGCCAGTTGCCAAGCATCTGAATTTTGGTTACGTGACCCATGGGGAGGCTGCAACAGTTGTAAGTGAAAATCAGCCGTAAGCCCCTTTTTTCATTGCTGTTGTAACTGCGAATGGACACTAAATGAAAAGCTGTAAGTCGTGGACTACCTGTATAACTATTGTGAGCAGGGTACTGTTTAATCAGAATAGAGCTGGAAGGGATCTTAGAGGTCTTCTAGTCCAACCCTCTGCTCAAGCAGGAGATCCTATACCCTTTCAGATAGGTGGCTGTCCAGTTTTTTCCTAAAAACTCCAGTGATGGAGCACCCACAATTTCTAAAAGGAAGACATTCCACTGATTAACATAATAACAGAGTTGGAAGGTATCTTGGAGGTCTTCTAGTCCAACCCTCCTGCTCAAGCAGGAGAGTCTAGTCTGTACCATTTCAGACAAGTGGAGGTTCAATCCCTTCTTGAAGACCTCCATTGACAGAGCACCCACAGCTTCCACTAGTTCAGTGGTGGCGAACCTATGGCACGCGTGCCAGAGGTGGCACTCAGAGCCATCTCTGTTGGCACTCGCGCCACCGCCACCAGCAGCAGGTCCATCAGGCCACAACTGCCACCCAGAGCAGGAGCCCCGCCCAGCACAAAGGAGGCGAAGTGGCCAACTAGCAAGCTCGAGTAGAGGTGGTAGAGCAGAGGTCACCAACCATTGTCGATTGGCGGACTGGAAGAAAAGGGAGGGGGAAGTATTTTACATGCATGCATGTGCACATGGGGCCATGAGCATCGACACACTGCAAATGGGGCGGGGCTAGTGCCTGCATGATACTCACTAGCCCTGCCCCGTTCTTATGTGGTGCAGCACCTTGTATCTTCACCCCACGGTGCGGTGGCGGCCATTTTTGCATCTTGCAGCACGGTGGCCCATTTTTGTGCCCCCGGTTTTTATGTGCCAGAGGCAACACTCAGAGGAGCCTCCCTGCCCCCCCTCCCGAGGACACCACAATGCTGATGCGGCCCTGGCACTTTGCAATAAATAAGTGGATTTTGGGTTGCGGTTTGGGCACTCATTCTCTAAAAGGTGTGCCATCATTGCACTAGTTAATTGTCCTCACTGTTAGGAAGTTTCTCCTTAATTCCAAGTGGCTTCTCTCCTTGATTAGTTTCCATCCATTGTTTCTTTGTCTTGCCTTCTGGTGCTTTGGAGAATGTTGACGGCCTCTCAAATATTGGAAGACTGCTATCATGTCACCCCTAGTCCTTCTTTTCTCTAGATATCCTTTCTCAAAGATGTGTGGCAGGGGTCCATAACCCCCGAGCCCCTGACCAGTACCGGTCCACAGCCTGTTAGGAACCGGGCTGAGCAAGCAAAGTTTCATGCATGCATTCTCTCTCCCACCCACCCCTACCCCCGGTTTGCGGAAGACAATTTTTCTTGGTGCTAGAAAGGTTAGGGACCGCTGATATATGGCCGTACAAATCTTATAAAGAAAGGTTTTAAAAGCTCATGAAGGAAGAGAAACAATAAATTAAGTTCACATCCTCATGGAGGAGGAGGATAAATAAAGTTCAAAAACCTCACGAAAAAAAAGAATGGATAAGTAAATAAAGCTTAAAAGCTCAGGAAGGAGGGGAATAAATAAACCCAGTTTAAAGGCTTGTGAAGGAAGTATTGGTTGACCTGTTCTTGAATTTCAAAGTGTCACTGTGGAATTTAAAGCCAGCAGCGAAAATATCTGAGTTTCCAGATCTTGTGTCATTCCTTTGCTGTTCCCTTTGGGTTCACATATCACATTAAACCACCATGGGCTCTACTTAGTTTGGGCATCCTGGGCTGGCTGAACCCATCTATTGTAATCTCTAAAGCATTGCTTATATCCTAGAGCAGTGTTCCTCAACAACTTTTGAGAGATATGGACTTCAACTCCCAGAATTCCCCAGCCAGCATGGCTGACTGGGAAATTTTGGGAGTTTAAGTCCACACCTCTTAGAGTTGGCAAGGTTGAAAAACACTAAACCAAGAGGGAAAATAAGATCCAGAACAAATGAGAAATGGGGTTTTGCCTCTTTTGTGACCACTGTGGGAAAACAGACCACTTAGCACAGGGTTGGGGAAGTATGGCCCTTTTATGACCTGGGGACTTCAACTCCTAGAATTCCTGAGCCAGCATGGCTGTTCTAGAATCAGCAGCCTTATTTAGGTGAGTAATTTCCTCCTCCTCCTTCTTCTTCTTCCCAATCTTCTCCTTCCTCCTCCTCCTCCTCCTCCTCCTCCTCCTCCTCCTTCTTCTTCCCAATCTTCTCCTCCTTCCCCCTCCTCTTCCTCCTTCTTCTTGTTCTTCTTCCCAATCTTCTCCTCCTTCCTCCCTCCTCCTTCTCCTTCTTCTTCTTCTTCCCAATCTTCTCCTCCTCCTCCTCCTCCTCCTTCTTCTTCTTCTCACCTGCAGATGTCTGAAAGTGATGAGGGAAGTAAAGGTCCGGAGAAGGAAGGGAACCAAAATGGCATCCATAGGGGAGAGAAGCCGAGGGGCAAGAAACGGGCTTCCTCCTCTGAAGGCCTCTTGCAGCCGGTGAAGTTGGGCAAAAGCGAGCTCTACAAGGTGCCCACCAACGAAGAACTGAGCCACCTCAAGGAGACGGAGAACCTGTTCCATTCCAACCTTCTGCGCCTACAGGTCAGTTTGGGTTGGAAAATTGGAAGGAGGAGTCAAGCGGGGGCCTAGCTTGGAATCCTTCTGGAGCCACAAACTTCCTCGCCACAGTCGTGTATTGCCTCTACAAATACGCTACCTTTGAATTCGTAAATGGAATAGTCTCATACTTGCTCGTTGAGATGGTCACTTTGAGGGGCATTTTTAACATTCTTGCCATACGCTAAAACAAATAAATAAAATAAATCCCCCCCCCAAATTTCCTGTGGCTAGGCGAGACAGTTGTGCAGTGAGTTTTGTCCCGTTTTACGACCTTTCTTGCCACAGTTAAGTGAATCCCTCCAGTCATTAAGTTAGTAACACAGTTGTTAAGTGAATCTGGCTTCCCCGTTGACTTTGCTTGTCAGAAAGTGGCTCCGGGACACTGCAACAGTCGTAAGTACATGCCAGTTGCCAAGTGTCTGAATTCTGATCCCGTGACCACGGCTGTAAGTGTGCAGAACGGTCCTAAGTCACTTTTTTCAGTGCCGTTGTAACTTCGAATGGTTACTAAATGACCTAAGTCGTAAGTGGAGGACTACCTGTATAGCTGGAGGACCATAAAGTTGCTTACCATCTTAATATCTAATTTATGAGTAACTCTGATTCCTTGCTCCTGGCAGCTTGGTGGTTGAAGCAAACTTGGCTGGGGGAACTGGAAGGGCGATTCCTATTAGCAAAGGAAGATCCAGAATACTTTAGCCTTCCTGCTTATGACCCACCTCTATTCCATTTTTCTCCTTCTGCAGATCGAGGAACTGTTGAAGGAGGTGACCCTCAAGGAGAAGAAGAAGCAGAGGATTGATGCCTTCCTTCACGAAATCAGCGCCATGCTCAGGAACGTCCCGGAGCTTTCGGCAAGAGACGTATGCTTCAATCTGCACTGTTGATAACATCTTGAGATATGTCTGTGAAGATTCTCAACCATCCAGGACAAGGATCTTCAAACTTGGCCACTTTAAGACTTGGGGACTTCAACTCCCAGAGTTGGAAGTCCACAAGTCTTAAAGTGGCCAAGTTTGAAGACCCCTGATCCAGGACATGGTTATCCCAAAGGTGCTTTTTTTCTCTCCAAAAGGCAACTGGACTTTCTTAATTTTTTTCCTTGGGAACATTTCACTTCTCATCCAAGAAGCTTCTTCAGTTCCAACTCCTTCAGTCAGAACTGAAGAAGCGTCTTGGACGAGAAGCAAAACATTTTCAAGGAAAAAAAACCCCAAGAAAGTCCCAGTTGCCTTTTGGAAAAAGCACCTTTGAGATATCCTGAGACATATTTCCTGGGAAGCCACTGTACTCAGTGGGCCTTCCTTTCCAGGAAGTGGGTTTAACCTTGTGGCCCTTATTAGCCCTTGCTCTCGTTCCTTGGGATCCAGATTTGGGATCCCTTGGGATTGCCTGCCTACACAGCCAAGGGATTCCCGGGAGGAACACTGAAATATGAAATCCCAATTTATCAGGAAGATAGTGGGTTAGGGAAGGCTGTCCTGCTTGCTGAGGAGATGTTGAGACCCAAGAAAGAGGGCAGAGAAGAGCAAGAAAGATGATTAGGAGTCTGGAGATGAAAACATATGACACGTCTAAGGCAGGGGTAGGCAACCTTGGCTCTTTTAGGACTCGTGGACTTCAACTCCCAGAATTCCTGAGCCAGCATGGCTCAGCTTGGAAACTCTCTCTTTCCCCTCAGCATGGCTGGCTCAGGAATTCTGGGAGTTGAAGTCCACGAGTCATAAAAGAGCCAAGGTCGCCTACCCCTGGTCTAGGAGGCTCACCGCTTAGAACAGGAGGACTTAGGACAGGGGTAGGCAACCTTGGCTCTTTTATGACTTGTGGACTTCAACTCCCAGAATTCCTGAGCCAGCCATGCTGAGGGGAAAGGGAGAGGTTTCCAAGCTGAGCCATACTGGCTCAGGAATTCTGGGAGTTGAAGTCCACGAGTCATAAAAGAGCCAAGGTTGCCCACCCCTGGTCTAAGGGAATTAGGTATGTTTGGCCTAACAAAGAGAAGGATTAGGGAGGATACGATAACTGTTTTCTAGTACTTGAAGGGCTGCCACAAAGAAGAGGGGGGGGTCAACCTGCTCTCCAAAGCACCAGAAGGCAAGACAAGAAGCAGTGGGTGGAAACTAATCAAGGAGAGAAGCATCCTGGAATTAAGGAGAAACTTCCCACCAGTGAGAGCCATTAACAGTGGAACAGCTTGCCTCCAGAAGTTATGGGTGCTCCATCACGAGATTTTCAGGCCAAGGCTAGACAAGGATGGGATGACAATTTCTGCCTTGGGCAGGAGGTTGGACTAGAAGACCTCTAAGATCCCTTCTACCCCTATGATTCTATGGTTCCTCAGATTTCAAGAACGAAGGAAATCCCATACAATTAAGGACCAGATGGTGCTCATTTTTCACTGAAGAAGGACTAGTTTGCGAAGCCAAACACTAGAGCAGTGGTGGCGAACCTATGGCATGCGTGCCAGAGGTGGCACTCAGAGCCCTTTCTGTGAGCACGCGCGCCATGCCCCAGAGATGGTAACCGTCCCTCTTCAACCAGCCGCCCGCTTACTCGCCGAGGTTCCACGTGGCCGGATGCATCCCAGCACGGGTGGTTTCCCTCCCCTCTGTCCCATCCCTCCTGGCCTCACATGCTCTCCTTTTCCCGGGCACGACCCACTGCATCGCCTCCTCAGCTGTCGGCCGTCCGTCCAGCTCAGAGGCGGCTTCTCTGAACTGCTGGCAGCGGGCTGCGGAGCCCCAGAGTGCACCGGTCGAGGGATCGGCAGGCTATGGCTGCTGACGGACACTGTCGGCCCCCATGCGCTCGCTGGCCTCTGTGTGCGGGGGCCGATGGTGTCAGGCAGCAGCCACCCTGGCCCCTGCGTCACCTTGCCCTGCGACAATGGCACTCCCGCCCTGCCTTGCCTCGCCTCGCTTCACCCCGCAGGACGAGCCTCCTGCCCACCGCCCCACCTGCCAGAGACCCCTTGGATCTCCCCCAATCCTGCCCGGCCCCCATAGACGTCCCTCTCCACGAGCAACATTGAGGTGACCATGCCCACCTTGGCCACACCAACCCAGTCTGCCATGACCACCACAGCCACGCCCACCTGGCACCCGGTGATAAATAAGTGGGTTTTGGGTTGCAGTTTGGGCATTCGGTCTCTAAAAGGTTTGCCATCACTGCACCAGAGGTTTTCAAGAAAAGGATGGACAACCCTTTGTTCAGGATGGCATGAGGTCTCCTGCTTTGGGCAGAAGGTTGGACTAGAAGACCTCCAAGGTCCCTTCCAATCTATCATTAGGACAGAATATGGGTTAGGTGTGTGGGGGGGGAGGGCTTTGTGAGTGGATTTGGCTGTAACACCAGATTAGTGGATAATAATAATAATAATAATAATACAAAACAACAACAACAACAAAACAACAACAACAACAACAACAACAACAACAACAACAACAACAATAATAATAATAATAATAATAATAATAATAATAAAGTTGGAAGGGACCTTGGAGGTCACCTAGTCCAACCCCCTGCTCAGGCAGGAAACCCTATACCATTTCGGACAAATGGCTGTCCAGTTTCTTCTTAAAAGCTTCCAGTGTTGGAGCATTCACTGTTTCTGGAGGCAGGTTGTTCCACTGGTTAATTGTTCTCACTGTCAGGAAGTTTCTCCTTAGTTCCAGGTTGCTTCTCTCCTTGATTAGTTTCCATCCGTTGCTTCTTGTCCTGCCTTCAGGCGTTTTTTCGGCTTTTGTTCAAGGTCCTCAGAAATAGGAGATTGATTTGGTGTTATGTGTTAAAGATGCTTGTGCACCCTCAAGAACATTTTTTTTGTAATATTTTATTGGTTTTTCCAATTTTCCATTTGAATATTTAAAAAGCAACGCGGCGGCGGGGTTGATCAATAATTCAACAACAAAAATCTTTAGTACAAATCTTGGGTTACATCATCAAATATTTCTTCTCTTTTTCCCTTAACATTTACTATCTCATATTCAAGCTAGTACATTTCCAGTTGTATCAACTCAATGAAAACATCATCATTACATTTATCGGTACATTTTTAGCTTATACATATCTTAATTAGTCTTTATAAAACATTCCATATCCTGTTATTGATTTTTACCTAATTTTTAAATTCTCATCAATATTCCAATTAACCTTTAATATCCATAATTTTCAAGCTTTGGGTAACCAAAGTTTCCCTTATCTCATTTCATAACAAGCCACAATATCCAAAATACACATGTTACCTATTTAAATGTAATCTTGTTCTATTTCCTAAAATTTTTCTATTTCCCACCATAATAAATCATCTTCTTAATTTATTTATTTTATTTATTTATATTTGAATTTATATCCCGCCCTTCTCCCGTAGGACTCAGGGTGGCTGACAATCTATTTAAAATACACACAGAACAATACAAATTTAAAATTAATTAAAAAGAATATTAAATATTTGTCGAATTTAAAATATAATTAAAACCCCCCTAAAAATTACCCTAGGCCAGTCCTGCAAGCTGGAATAACCAAGTCTTGAGGGCGCGGCGAAAGGAAGGGAGATCAGGGATAACCCTGATCTCTGGGGGCAGTTCATTCCAGAGGGTGGGAG